CTGGCCAAACTCCAGCTTGTGCTGGTTTTAAAACTCCATCTTGTCCTCTGCAGGCATCCCGACGCTGGGGAAGAATGTGGTGGTGGCCGGCAGGGCGAAGAACGTGGGCATGCCCATCGCCATGCTGCTGCACACGGACGGCAGGCACGAGCGCCCCGGAGGTAGGGGCTTGGTGGCCTCGGAGCCTGTGTGCCAGGAAACCCTCAGCCTGTCACTCTGTCCTCGTCAGGCTCCTAAACCAGTCCCGGGAGCTCTGTAGGGACGCCGGCCCATCACACAGGCTGTGGTCAAGGCGGAGGAGTTAACTCTGCACATAATCAGTCTTGTAACATTTTTTGGAGCTGCTTTCAGTGACTCCTTGTCCTCTTCCATCCCAGATCCCTCCCTCTGGCTCCGTGGGCTGTTCCCTGGGGTTTGGCATCAGGCTCTGATGTTCCTGGTGAATACAGGCTGGCCGTGAAGGGGAAAGCTTAGCGAAGTGGCTGGGTTTGGGTGAATTAAATCTCCGTGTAACCACTGTTGCAGGCGATGCCACGGTCACCATCTCCCACCGCTACACTCCCAAGGAGCAGCTGAAGCAGCACACGATCCGCGCCGATATCGTGGTGGCAGCAGCAGGTAAGACTGGACTCTGACAGCGCAGGGTGCCGGCGAGGGGTTTCTGATGGGAACCTGCGCTCGCAGGAGACGATCCTGGGGCCTCCCTGCCTGCAGCAGTGCTCCCATGGCTGGCAGCAGCTCAGGGCGAGGACCAGGAGAGCAAGCGAGGGGCTGTTGGAGCCGGTTAATCCTGGGATTTAGCCCAGGAGCTGCATAGTTGATCTCACTAACAGAGCTGTTTGTAGGTTTGCCTTTGAAATGTAAAATAACATCTGGCAGGAGGGCTGGGTGTGCTGGGAGCACCTGATGGGATCCAGAGGTCAGCTCCAGACAGGCTCCTACACGTCCAGACAGTTCTCTGTTTATGTGGGGAGGAGGAAAAAAATACCAAGATAGCATCTGCTTACCTAGAGACAGTCAGAATGCTGAGGGACAGCCGCAGTGCCAGCTTCAGAGCGCAAGGAATCCCTTGGAGGTGTCCCCTTCGGCGGGCTGTGCCCTTGGCAGGGAGGGGGTTCCTCAGCCGAGGAGTGGAGCTGATCTGGGGTGAGCCTGTGGGGAGGGAGGAGAGAAAAGGGGGGTTGGAAATCGGGTATGAAGAGGCTGGGGAGAAGTGGTGCTGAAGGCGTGGGGGTGCGTGGTGACAGCCCTCTCTCCCTGCCGCGCTGGGTTGCGCTGCTCTCGGGTGCTGCTCCAGCTTTACTGACTTCAAATGGTGCTGGAGCTGCACGAACAAACCCAGCCCCAGACTTCAAAGACAAACTTTAAGGTTTCAACTCAGAGGATGCTTTGGTCCCAGCTGCTTTGCCAGCCTGAGGGATTCCAGCTCTTTGAGGTTATCAGTAAACCACTCAAATTCCTGAGCTGACATCAAGGCGTCAGCTGGAGCGTGCAGCTGCGGCAGGTTGGCGTGCGTGGGTCAGGACAGAACACGGAGACGGGGTGAGGGGGAGCAGGGGGCTGTTTAGCACCACCCCACACGTGGGGTTCTGTTTGTGTTTTTTCTCCTAGGCATACCCAACCTGATCACAGCTGACATGATCAAAGAAGGAGCCGCGGTCATCGACGTGGGGATAACGAGGGTGCAGGACCCCATCACTGCCAAACCCAGGCTGGTCGGGGATGTGGCTTTT